TGCTTAGCGTGGCATCCAAAAAGTCCTCAGTAAGTGTGCAACAACACCTTTTTATTATGGAAAACACACCCAACCTGGAAACGGTGTTCGCAGGGGATTAAGAGAAGCAGGTACAGTCGGGTGAGCAGAGGGAGCCAGTGTGGGGAGGGCCTTCCTAGGTGAGGGAACCACTACATTTGAAAGTGGGATGCAGGGCCAGGGCTGAACATCAACCAGGATGGGCAGGAATGAAGCAAACAGCTCACACCTGTTCCTTCATGGGTCAGTTCCTTTCATTTTCCCTTTCGACTCTGATGCAAAGTTAGAACCCTTCTCTGATCGGATGTCACTATTCTTAATAAAGTAAATAAGTAGGATCCCAAACCTTCAATTGCATAAAATACATGCTCTTGTTATTGCAAGGCAAATGGGAAATATTTTGCAGTCGGTCCTCAACATCACAATAACACAAATTCTAAAACTTACACTGTTGACAACTGAACCACACCCTAAAAAAATTAAAAAACGGTCCCTCCCTAACCTCTCTCCCCAGCAAGAGAAGGGCATTGGCCACCCCAACCTGAGCAGGAGACCAGGTGGAGAGTGGGAGCCACAGCTGCAGCAGCAAGAAGCCTGAGGGCTGCTGGCTTTGACCATGTAATAGGGAGTTGGATTGAGTTGTCTGAATCATTTTTCTAGTACCTGATTTATAAAATAGATCAGACTAATTGAAGGAGCTGGGAAATAAGAGCCCACCCCTCAGTGTCCAGCCTCCCCAAAGTACATGTTTCTCTAGAGTAACCTCGAGCTTCTCCCAGCGTGGATTAAAACCCATGGGTCTTCCAGAGCTAAAATCTGAGGCTCTACTATTTAAGCCATAGTTAGCTCTTCCAACCTGCGATGGTAACATGCTCACATCCTCAGCCTGTCATTGTTTAATATTTAGTGACTTATTAAATTTAATATTTAATATTTAATAAGTAACACCCATTCTGGTTACTTATTATGCAGCAGCTTGCCTGTGTTCACCTGTGTTGTCTCAGGGTTAGCTCTTTATTTCCCAGAATCCTGTCCCATTTCCTGGAGCCTGTTGACTAGGGGAAAGATGTGATCAAAAGTTAAAGGTATGTTGGGTGAAGACTTAGAAACACAGCTCTTCTGACAAAAACAAGCAATGGGGAAAAGACTCCCTATGGAGTAAATGGTGCTGGGATAACTGGCTAGCCACGTGCTGAAGATTGAGGCTGGACCTCTTTCTTACACCACACACAAAAATCAACTTAGGACTTAAGTGTAAAACCCAAAAACATACAAACCCTGGAAGACAACCCAGGCAATACCATCTTGGCTATGAGCAGGCAAAGATTTCATGACAAAGACACCAAAAGCAATCAGAATGAAAGTAAAAATTAAGACATGGTATCTAATTAAACTAAAAGAGCTTCTGCACAGCAAAAGAAACTATCAAGGAAGTAATAGGCAGCTTACAGAATGGGAGAAAATATGTACAAACTATGCGTCTGACAAAGGTCTAATATCCTGCACCTATAAGGAACTTAAATTTACAAGAGGAAAAGAACCCCTTTAAAAAGTAATCCCAGGAAGTGAAGAGACACTTCTTAAAAGAAGACCACAGCTTCTGCACGGCAAAAGAAACAGTCACTAGAGTGAATCGGCAACCAACAGAGTGGGAAAAAATGTTTGCAGTTTACCCATCTGACAAAGGGCTGATATCCAGAATTTACAAAGAACTCAAACAGATTTACAGGAAAAAAACAAACAAGCCCATTCAAAAATGGGCAAAGGATATGAACAGACACTTTACAAGAGAAGACATACGTGAGGCCAACAAACATATGAAAAAATGCTCATCATCACTGGTCATTAGAGAGATGCAAATCAAAACCACATTGAGATACCATCTTACACCAGTTAGAATGGCGACCATTAAAAAACCTGGAGACAGCAGATGCTGGAGAGGATGTGGAGAAATAGGAACACTTTTACACTGTTGGTGGGAGTGTAAATTAGTTCAACCACTGTGGAAGACAGTGTGGCGATTCCTCAAGGCCTTAGAAATAGAAATTCCATTTGACCCAGAAATGCCATTACTGGGTATATATTCAAATGACTATAAATCGTTCTACTATAAGGACACATGCACACGAATGTTCACTACAGCACTGTTTACAATAGCAAAGACCTGGAACCAACCCATATGCCCATTGATGATAGACTGGACTGGGAGAATGTGGCACATATACACCATGGAATATTATGCAGCAATCAAAAATGATGAGTTCGTGTCCTTTGTAGGGACATGGATGAATCTGGAGAACATCATTCTCAGCAAACTGACACAAGAATAGAAAATGAAATACCGCATATTCTCACTCATAGGCGGGTGATGAAAAATGAGAACACATGGACACAAGGAAGGGAGTACTACACACTGGGGTCTATTGGGGGGAATGGGGGAGGGACAGTGGGGGGTGGAGCTGGGGAGGAATAGCCTGGGGAGAAATGCCAAATGTGGGTGAAGGGGAGGAAGGCAGCAAAACACACTGCCATGTGTGTACCTATGCAACTATCTTGCATATTCTGCACATGTACCCCAAAACCTAAAATGCAATGTAAAAAAAAAGAAGACAAATGTGGCAAACAAGCATATGATAAAATGCTCTATATCACTGATCGATAGAGAAATACTAATCAAAACCACAGCGAGACACTATCTCACACCAATCAGAATGGCTGTGATTAAAAAGTCCAAAGGAACAGATGCTGGCAAGGTTGCAGAGAAAAGTGAGCACTCGTACACCATTGGTGGGAGTGTTCGTTCAACCGTGGTGGAAAGCAGTATGGTGATTCCTCAAAGAGCTAAAATCAGAACTACCATTTGGCCTAGCAATCCCATTACTGGGTCTATACGCAGATGAATATAAATCCTTCTACCATGAAGACACATGCATGCAAATGTCCATTGCGGCACTCATCACAATAGCAAAGACATAGAATCAACCCAAATCCCCATCAATCACATATTAGATATAGAAAATGTGGTGTATATATACCATGGAATACTATGCAGCCATAAAAAAGGAGATAATGTCTTTTGTGTTAATATGGATGAAGCTGAAGGGTATTATCCTTAGCAAACTAGCGCTGTAGCAGAAAACCAAATACTGCACGTTCTCACTCATAAGTGGGAGCTAAGTGGTAAGAACTTGTGAACACTAAGAAGGAAACAATAGACACTGGGGCTACTTGAGGCAGGAGGGTGGGTGGGGAGAGAGGAGCAAAAAAGAAAACTATTGGGTACGGGGCTTAATACCTGGATGATGAAATAATACGTACAACAAACCCCTGTGACACACATTTACCTATATAGCAAACCCTCCCATGTACCCCCAACCTAAAATAAAAGTTTAAGAAAAAAAAACAGCTTTTTATTTTTCCCCTTAATTACCATGAAGGTCATGGGCCATTTGTCACCTGAACAGTCAGTAACACTTGAATGGGAAGACACTGAACATCCAGGGACCCCAGAGACCGCTCGCTGCAGAGGAAGGAGGCAGGCGTATCCATGAGGTGAACTTTCTCCAGTCCCGAAGTGGCTCCCTCTCCTCTTAACTGCGGGGCCCATGGAATTCAGACTAGGAAGTAAAGCCAGTGGGAATGGCCCACAGGGGAGCAGTTCAAATGTGCCGAGAAGGATAGAGCAGCCCCAGTGAGGAGGGAAGGCTGGACCAGAAATGGATTTGCAGGGTGACAGTGTGCAGCCATCAGAGCTCTGATTCCATCACTTTCACTACCCTCCTCTGCCCCCTAACATCCAAAAAGTATTGATGACAAGTGTTGCGCGGTAAGACATTTCCCTGCTTTATAATCCGGATTTGGGGGTTTAAATTTCAGAGGTGATGAAAACATCCCCCTTTAACTTTTAATTTCATAATTGTACCTTTTTTAAAAAACAGATTTGTGGACATGTAAAACAAAGAAAACAGTATGGGAATAATTTATAACCAACAAATATGTATGTGTTCACTGAGTCACTCACATGACCTATGGCACACGAGCACCCCGAGAGTAGGATTGTGAGGCGTCTGATGGTGATTGTCCTTAGAGCTGGTAGGGCCCAGCCTCCCGCTGTCTGTGCACCGCTGTGTGTGCAATTGGTGTGTCCTTTAACTTCACAGAGATGCCTCAAGGCACACAGCATTGCCTTCTCTTTCTGTGTAGAAAACTATGGCTGGGTAAGAGTGTGCAGAGCTGCATGGCAGACTTGGGTTTGGCTCCTTCTAGTTTCAAAACCCGTGAGTATTTTCTTGTCTCTAACGCTAATCTTAGCACATTTGGAATAAGCATATAAACATATCACCAGAAACCACTCAGGTAATATGCAATTAAATTATAAATAAATGCTCAACAAGATGATGAGTGAATGAGCTATATATAAGAATAATACTTTGGGAGGCCGAGGCGGGTGGCTCACACCTGTAATCCCTGCACTTTGGGAGGCCGAGGCGGGTGGATCACGAGGTCAAGAGATCGAGACCATCCTGGTCAACATGGTGAAACCCCGTCTCTACTAAAAATACAAAAATTAGCTGGGCATGGTGGCGCGTGCCTGTAATCCCAGCTACTCAGGAGGCTGAGGCAGGAGAATTGCCTGAACCCAGGAGGTGGAGGTTGCAGTGAGCCGAGATCGCACCATTGCACTCCAGCCTGGGTAACAAGAGTGAAACTCCGTCTCAAAAAAAAAAAAAAAAAAAAGAATAATAACTGGTTGAAGTGTCATTCATAGGATAAAGTAGAAATCAGTTAAATGGCTAAGGAGGGTTAAATCAGCATCCAGGTGTGGAAATAGCTGATTTATGTATATAGTTTGTTCCATGTAAAACATTTATAATCTAGTACTGGATGAGAAAAAATATACTACATTTTTGTACAGTATAATCTAAAATTTCTATGTTTAGTTAAAAATGCAGGAATATAATTATCAAAATTTGAGTATAAAATTATGAATAATTTTTCTTTCTTTAATAATTCATTTTATAAAATATTTACCAAAGACCCTCCAAGGAGAATATACACTTTTATAATTAGAAAAAAAATGATTCGTTAAAGAGATCACAAATGACATAATACTTTATAGAAGTTAGAAGCTGAGATTGTGAGAATTTCCAGGGACTCCTGCCACCAGCTCATCTTGTGTCATCGTTTACCCGGAAATGTTGGAACTGAGGTCGCCTGATGCCTGTCAATTCCCAGCAGCTTTTTCTCTGGCTCTCAGCCAGCCTGTTAAACAGAAAATAATCAGTAAGACAATTAAAAACACCCTGGTGTTCTGAGAAGTCACACACAATCGCTCGCTTACCAAGTGTCTACGTCAGAATCTTCTTTGCCTCCTAGAGTGAGTGTAATCATCTGTTTTAAATTCGGCTTCTGCCGTTTCACAGCCTGAGGCGCAGGACTCTGCATAGGGCATAGATGGATTTCCACGGTCAGCACGAGGATGGGAGGAGAACGGGGCAGATCCAGCCCCACTCAGGAAGACCTGGCTGGAGTTACTGGGCTGGGCCTCACTCCAGAGAGCGGAGACCTTCCCTGGACCCGCCACCGAGACAGCCCCCAGTTGGAAAATGTTTTCTTCTAAGGTGAGATGCGGCCCCCACTGGAGAGGAAAACACCAGAGAGTGTTAAAAAGGAAAAACCGAGGGAAGCTGAGGAGCCCCGTGACAGGGGACACGCAGAGCGCACCCAGCTGGGGTGAATCCGTGCATCTCCCAGCGGGACGGCGGGTGGGATCCGTGTCACCGGCCCCGCCGCGTGGGGGCAGCACGAGCGTCCGCGTTCACATCGTCCCTCCTCCGGCAGCGGCCTCCGTCCGGAAATCGTCTCGGGTCTGTCCTCACGGGAACCCGATGCCAGAGCTGCGCGCTGCGAGGATTTGGACGCTGGTGCTTCGTAGGGCTGAGCGTTTCCCACGTTCTGGGAGCCCGACGGGGCTCTTTCTCACGGGCCCTTTTTCTAGGGGCGGGAGGCGTGGCCTGCAGACGCGGCTCCCAGCACGTGGGTGCGAACCCACCACGGGGCGTGCAACTCACTGCAGCCTTTGGCGGAGTGTCAGGGGTTAAAGGTCGTTTTGAAATCTGTTTATTACCCTCAGCCAATTAACTTCTATCTACAGTGAAGATATTTTGCCATTTTTTTTTTCAAAATGGAGAAATAACATGCTCTTAAAAAAGCCTTTTAGAGGCATGAGAAGTCAATTTCATTACATTAAAATCGCTAAAAGGAAAAAAAGTGAAATTCACTAATCAAAAAATTATCTTTTGGCGAAATACTCTATTTTGGTTTGAAATATGTGTCAAGATACATAGGGAGTTTATTCGTTCAATTAAGTTAAAAAACTAGATAACGCGGTAAATTCAAAAAGCAGTGAAGACACGTTTCGTTTCTGTGTCTTTAACTGAGAAAACTGGCGGATGCTTCCTGTGTGCGAGCGCCGCGGACGCGGAGCCCGAGGTTTCCTTCTCGCCGCCGCTGGAGGCGGGGCCGCCTGTTTTCCTTCCCGCTCAGCGAGGGCCCCACAAACACACGCGGCGTCTCTGCCCCCTAGTGGATCCTGGCGGCACTGGGAGCAAATGTGACTGAAAATACTGAAAGATTTAAAAAGCACACTGCCGTGTGTACATATGCAACTGTCTTGCATGTTCTGCACATGTACCCCCAAACCTAAAATGCAATAAAAAATTAAAAATAAATAAATAAATAAATAAATAAATAGGAAAAAAAAGTACCCATTATCTCCAGAGGGCGTTTAATTCTAACAGGAGGCTTTTCTTCTTCTTTTTCAAATGGGCTGATGGGTAAGAATAATGCAAGACTGGAGATGGAACAACGCACACTGCATTTGCCTTTCGGCATCTGCTATGACCGAGTCCTTCTTCAGCGCTGCCACAGGGAGCACATTCACACGCGTGTCACACAAATACTGGGTTACGTCAAAAACCCAACCTTCTTGGAGAAAGCCACAAAGGCTATCAGACCAAGCCTTCACCTAGACGACACCTGACAGTTCAGAAGCTGAGATCCTGGGAGACGTCTGGAGAGCTCAGCTGTGACCCACAGTGTATGGACGGGCGGGCAGTGGGGCCAGGAAGGTGAGAGAACTGTCCACTATTCAGCATCATCAGCCTAAAACCCACATACTATTGCTGCAAACTACTGACACTTGAAGCCACAAACCACAGAAGCAGAAGCCTTTATGGTCCTCAGTGTGCGACTGGTGACTTTTCAGAAGACGAAAATTAAACATATAAATCATAAATTCAAATTATCAGAAGAAATACTAGATTTTCTAACCTCTGCGACCATGACTTTTTTCCCCCAAGATTCGTGAATTATTGTAAACAAGCTCACAGAGGCCAAAGTGCTCCCCTGAAGTCATCCAGAAAGAGGCAGTCTGCTAATCCCCACATCTGAGACATCTGTGTTTTCCTATAATATAAAAATTAAAAATAAGGGAGAGGGACAGAAAGACATAGACAGACAGCAAATTGGAGCTAAGAGGAAACACTTTCACGTTTTGCCTGCAAAATTCCCAGTGAACATTCCCATCGCCAGTGGGTGAAATCCAAGGCCCTGGCTCCAGGATCCTGCTCTTTCCTTTGGTGACTCCTGTTCATATTTGTCATAAAAATAACATGGAACATGTTACACTTTTCTGGAGAAGTCATTATGCTCAGGCTTTTGGCTCACAAGCTCCACTTCCCTGGACACCCCTTTGCCCTAAGCTTCAAGTAATTCAGCTTCACTCTTCAGAGAAGAGCTCAGGTGTCACTTCCTCTAAGGACCCTCCCTAGACACCTCTCCAGTAGAAGGGCCCCCACATTGCTCTTTGCACCTCTGTCCCTTGAGGTGCTGCTGTCCTCTATGGAGGGCGGGACCCTGGGAACTAGAGCCCCTCTCATGCTGGAGACATTCGGCATTCAGTCAGTGTGTGCTGAGTGGATACAAGTGTGGTGAGCTTGCACAGCTTGTAATGTGTACTCTCATGTCTGGCACAGAGCCCCATTTTCATTCTTTGTGAAAGGAGTAAGTGGGGCTGCATGACCCATACTCTCTTTTCAACTCAGAAGTCCACTATGAGCCTGACATCAAATAGCTTCTCAGCCACTGCCAGGCCAGGACCCAGGGTTTCAATGTGTCTGTGTTCCCCCACAGAATGGGGAAAGCACTGAGAAATGGAACCAGCTCTTCTGCCTGCTGTCCACTGCCAGCCAGCAAGTCTAGGCTCACAAATCCAAGCAAAGACACCTGCAGGAGATCTTGGTTATTTATTAGCTGTGATTGGGCTGGAAGGGAAGTGTGTTCACTTTTAATTTTCCAGTGAATAGCATGAGACAGTAAAGCTTAAAATGTGGTTGTTATTTTTGTTTTCCGAGAAGGTGAAAGAAAGGCCTTTTACCTTCTCATCTTTGGAGCCACTGGCATTAGCTGTGGACCTGGTAGTTTAAGAACACTTGAAAATGAACTATGTGAACCAGTATTCTCCAAAGTAATATTTTGATAAATACCGCAAGACCATTGCTTAAGTGGGCAAAAGTCTAGAAGACAGGAAAACACTCCTGAAAAAAGGTGGCAATGCAGTTAAATTCAGCAAACCGCAAGGGCCTGTGTTGTTCTACCCCAGATCAGTGTGTCAGTCACCACTGGATGCCACTCCCAGACCAACTTCAGAACAGCTAGGTGTAAAGGTCTGTACAGAATCCACAACATAATAATGCAAATAATTTTACACTATTAATAATAAATTATATTACAATGTTCCATAATATAAAGGCTATTAAAACATGTTTGTCTTCAAAGAATGGCCTTGGTTTCTGTGGGCAGTGTCTCCTCATAGAAAGGTAGTGCATTCCTGCTAAATCACGGACACAACGGGCCTCCAGGAGCTCAGGCTGCAGCAGCAGCTTCTCATCTACGTCCTTCACTGCAGGAGGTTGTTACTGACTTTGAAAGCTCCTTTCATTCTAGTTTTGTCAACAGAGCTAGTATTTCATGAGGATCTACTACATACCAGGTTCCAGAAAGCCAAATGCCTTTTGTTTGTTATTATTCCCTAAATACAAATCACAACTCTCTTCTCATTACTCACACGACAAAATGTAGCTGAGGGAGATTGAGTGACTTCCCCAGGGTCGTACAGCTACTAAGAGCAGGCTCGTGTTTAGATTCATGTGTGGATACTGAACACAGAAATAAACCAGTGGAAACATCATATATTCCAAAAGCCTACTCAAGCCATTTGTTCTTATTTTAAGGAAATTCTTTATGCTAATTTTAAACTCCAAATACTAGATCAACAGATTTGATGTCTGATGTAAGAGAGGATGGTTACTGATACCACCCCACAACCCCAGGCATACTGGACAAATGTCTAAGCCTCGTGGTTAGTGAGAACAATGCTGGTGGAATCTGAAGTTGTCATGTGCAGCCACACCTGCATGCAATGACTCATGCAAGCTTCTGCAGATTTCGTGATATACAAAACAGATGCAAAGAAATGCAGTAGCTGACAGACACAGGATAACTCTGGGAGATGTAGAAGGAGCATGTCACCCAAAATAGAGCCAGATAGACATCCTTAAGGAAGGAGCAAAGGAGTTGCATCATGAAGAATTAAGAAGGTATTTGTCATGAGAGATGGGACAGAGTTCTCAAAGGGCAGAGGGAGCATGAGAATGTTGGGAAGGGAAGAGAGATTCTTGCACATCTGGGAAGCTGACAATCCATCAGCATGGCCGGAAGGTTTAAGAAAACTTGAAAATGAAGTATGTGAACCAGTATTCTCCAAAGTAATATTTTGATAAATAGTGTAAGGAGGAAATAGATGAGGCTGGATATAGAAGCAGGGCTAAAGCTTTGTCTGCTGTGGTAAAGAGCTATGATTCTCTCCAGAGGGCAATAGGTAGCATTCTAAACGAACATCATTTAAAACAAGAGTCAGCAAATTATTTTCTGCAAAGGGCTAAATGTTAAATATTTTAAGTTCTCCAAGCCATATGGTCTCTCACTCTCTCTCTCTAAATAGCTCTTCCATTGCACCATGAATGCAGCCAGCGTTGTTATATACCACGTGTATGTTGCTGAGTCCCAGTACAACTTTGCTTACAAAAGCAGACTGTGTCAGATATCACCCATGCATGGTAGTTTGCCACATCCTGTTTTAGAAAGCTCAGGTTTGTGATGTGATGGAAAATGCCTACAAGAGCTCGTTTTAAACGGTAGACTGAACATACACTGGAATTCTATCCTGCTTGACCCAAGGTAGAAAAGATAGTAAATATATAGATAGATGATAAGCAGGTAAATGGAGAGATGACAGATAAAGAAAATACATAGCTGTTCCAGAAAACAGAAAGGGATAACTCTATGAACCAAAGGCAAAGTAATATGCTTTAGAAAGGAAGTGGACTGGAAACCCACAGTTGCAAAGCAAATCGAATTTCCCGCTGGCTCTGGTAGCCCCTTCCTGGAAGTAGTTACAGCCTAGGGTGTTTCGACTTCTTCCTCTCGTTTGTTTTCTGTGTGTGTGTGTGTGTGTGTGTGTGTGTTATTGTTTGCTTTAAAAAAAAAAAATCCCTTTTCCTGCTTGTCACAGTAGCCTTTGTTACTTCAAACACTGCAAGTGTTCTTTAAAAATACACACACACACACACACACACACACACGTCTCACCCTTTAAATTAAAATGCAACATGTCTGAAACTTGGTATCTAGAGAGGTGAGATGGACAAAGGAGCCCTTGTCACTGCACGTTTTCTTGCCCCAGCCTTCATCTTGCACACAGCAGCAGACAATGCACAAAGCCACTTCCTTATGGACTGAAATTCTGAAATCCTTTTATGCCTGGCCTTTCCATCCTTCAACTTCCCCTCTCCCACACTGTGAATGATTTTATTGGACATTTTTATTGTATTCTTGGTGACAGGGGAACACATTTGGCTCTAATCTCTCTGTGACCCAGATGCTTCTTTTTCTAGTATGCATTTATTTTGCAGCAAACATTTATATCCCTCATTTCTTCACTGTCTTTTGAACATAACTAGGCAATATCTCATCTGAGGTAGGCCATCTCTAGTGGTGGTATTCTGAGGGAGAAAAGCTAATCTGTTCTCTTTCCACTGCATTCCAGAACAGTGAGAGGACCTTGTGCATGAATAATTTGTTTCCACACTACAAACTGGGTAATAAGCAGATTAGTAAAATCAATTCTGCTTCACTTCAATAACATCCTCCTCCAACTCACTTTGTCTCAACAGACTTATTTTTCCAGAATCCCAGGCTTCTTAGAGAACCCAGCGACTTTTCACACCTTAAATCTGTTAAATCTTCATGTTTTCTTCTGCCACACGCATAGTTCAAACATAAAAAGATGAAGCAAAGTCAGATGCATTCCTGAAGGAACCCAAGAAATTCCTGTCTCTCTCTAGAACAAAATGAATTCTTTAGACCATCAGTTCTAACCTTCAAAAAGCAAACCTGTTTGTGAGATCTCCTTTCAATACTACTATAGACCCCAGGGTTTATTCATTAAATTTTTTAGATACTTGTTTTATTTGGAATCTATTTATTTGTAATTTTAGTATCTGTATTAATATAAGGGAGAAATGTTTAGATCTGTCTGTGCCACATGTGCCTCTGGCTTATCGCACAATTAACTGTAGCCTCAGGCTAAACTTTGGTTTCTGTCTCTAATTTTTCTCAGAATAAATATAACTGATCTCAAAACATCTGCTTTTATTGTAGGGGCTCATGCTTCCATCTCCATTCCTCTCTCTTTTCTTGCAATCTGGGTGGAAGTCCTTTAATAAGAACGTTTTCACCACCTTCACGCTCCCATGTCCACTATCAGCACATCCAGACTTACCCAGTCAAGGCTGTCATGGAAGGCCAGGGATTTTTCAGGAATCGTTATTTTGCCGTGATGTTGTTGCAACCCTTTGACTTATTTTATCACCCCCGGGTTCCTTTCATTTTAGGAGCCCAAGAGGGCAGAAAAAGAAGTAGGTGAGTAATTAAACGCTGAGTCAGGAGATTCTCCCCTCATGTTAAGCAATGTTGTAGAACAGTGTATGTAGAAAGCACCCAGCAGATGAGCCACGTGGCCGCTGAGCACAAATGCCCGCTTGCTGCTGTGAGCTCAGACAACCATCATCATTAGTCTTTTCCACTTCTGGAGGGAATTATAAGGGCACTTAGTAACCTGTAAGTCATAGAGAGTTAAAGGTGTTTCCCCAAAACACTGAGGACAGAATGAAAGGTGAGGAGTGTTAGCCACAGGTCAGAAATGCAGGAAACTCTCTCAGTGTGGGTTGCTGGAGAATTGCAAGTCTTTTTTCTTTTGGAAGTCTCCCTAGAATAGGGTCAAAAACTCTGCCTATTCTAGGATGAAAAATTGGGATATTATATACCCCCAAATATTTATCCCAAGCCTTCATTTAGGGTTCTTAGTTTGCTCAACAATTATATTCTCAAATGCTAAGCAGGGCATTTGAATCTCTCCACAGCCCAAATTAGCACTGTCTTTTAAAGTTGAGTTTCTCATTATTCTCACCTGCTATACCTTATTTATCCCACACCCACTCCAATAACATGTCATGCTCACTGCTATCTTTGAGACAAGACTTGAATTTTACTCAGCCTGGAGCGCTCTGCACATGTTTTGTCCAGATCCAGTTCTGATTCATTCTTCAGCCCCGCATCAGTCATCGGGGGCTATGTTAAACCATTGTGACAGACAACCTCCAAATTTCAGTGGCTCTAAAATCTTCTTCCTCATTTATTTACATCTCATCATGGGTCAGGTGAGAGGTAGGTCTGTGCTATATCATCCTAACACAGGAATCCAGGCTGAGGGAGGTACCATCAATAAGATCTCCATTGCTATAGAAAAGAGAAAAAGCATGATCAATAGAACACTGTTTCCTGGAGATTTCCCCTGAAAAAGTCACGTTATTTTTTTCTCACCTGCATTGGCAAAAAAAAAAAAAAAGTCATGTGGCCATGCAAAAATTTAATTAGGTAGGCTGGAATAGTCAGAGTGCATTCATAAAAAATGAACTGAAAATATCTGGAGAACACACCATGACTATCGTGAGTCCAGCATGCAACCCTAACAACTCAGTGCTATCACTCTCCAAACTTTCCATGGCTTGCAAAGTATTAGAGCTTCTTATCTGAAGCCATAGCTTCCTACTAAGTGCTGTGACCAACTCTTGTCCCAAGTTGCTGATGACAACTTACTCCAATAACCACAGACTGAAACCATAGTTATAGGTGATTCTCACTGATTTAGCCACCCCAGGTTTGAAACTAGTATCCTCTAGTTCTTAGTATCAAACCTCCCTATGGGAGAAACTCCATACTGCAGTTTCTCATATGGTGCTATGTGTAACTGTATCTTACATATACATACACACACACATACACAGAATTAATACAAACTGCATATACATACTTAAAACATATATATTATGGACTAAGGACTAATAGGACAGAACTTTCTAAATTACAAATAAAATAGCCAAGTAGACAATGACATTAGCAAGTGATGTTACCTGTGAAAATGTGAGGATTTATGGTGGCAATGCATTTCAGAATTAACAGGCATGTGTTATGGGACAATGTGAGCCAATGTAGATGAAGGAAATAAGCCTGAGAAATTTGTCAGAATTAGCTGCCAGTATTCAAGCACCGACAGCAATGTGTCTTCAGGGCAGGCATCGCTGGTGCTGAGGGAAACTGGGAATTACCAATTGTGAGCTGCTGGGGGATGGAAGGAAACTTAGCGTAGTCTTAGGGGCCACTTGCTTAAATAAATGTATCATAAACATAATAGGCCAAGGGTCAGCCCTTTGAAAACTGATTTCACGGCCTTCCTTTCCTCAGACTGCTGCCTCCTAGGCCAGATCCTTACCCTGGTTTACATACCATAACCGTTGTATACGCGGTAGGAAACTACAATGCTGACATGAAAAGCGAAGACCATCATCTTTTCCTTCAGTGTCTCTGTAAGCAAGGCCACTGGCTGACCAAGATCTGTTCTGAAGGTAGAGAGCCTGTTTAAATTCCAGCTTTGTGATTACTAAGCCACTGTTGTTCCTGGTCCTGCCAACTGTGATACTGTTGCTTCAGAATTACTGGGTTTCCTGTTCACCACACTCACTGACCTAAGGAGGTTTGGTATTTTTCTGATGTTACAGGCTTCCAGTACATAGTAGAGCCTGTGACAATCAGCTGATGATCAGACAAGTTTGTTGGGGTTTTACCTAAGTATTTTTCTACGTGTTTTAAAAAATTTAGGGTGGGAAATGCTCTCAGAGTGAGATGGTTTAACTTCATTAGGCACATAACCCATTTTTATTATAGAAAGAAATGCCTGTATAAGTAAAAAGATCATTTTCATTCGTCCCACCCTTTCCAGGTAACCAGTGCACTAAGTGTACATGTTTGCAGATTTATTTCTATGCACACATACATGTACAAATATTTTTACAATAGAGTTATACCATAAATACCACCTATAATGGTATCTCAGTTGTCAACATATGTATAAATAAGATTCTGTAGCCTTCCACTGTGGATGTACCAAAATTTATTTAATTCTCTGTCACTGGACACTTCTGTTTCACTAATATGTAGACACTGCGTAAGCAATGTCTCAACATCTCTGCACCTCTATTTTTGATATAAGTATTTCCTTAGGATAAAGTTCCAGAAATGGAATTGCAAGGTGTAAAAGATTGTTAACACATCTGAAGGCCTTAAGATGCCCTTACGGTGTATTTGTTACATCCTGCTTCCACACAAATTCTTCTGTATAGCCAGTATCCAAGCTGCAGCTCTCAGCACAGGTGAAGACAGCCAGGATGCCCCAGTCAATGCTCTTACCCAGTCTGTCAGCCTTCAGGTAGTTTAGGAGCTGAGGCATGACCTGAGAAGAGGGTGACATACAGTTAGAATGCTGCCTCACAGCAGGGAGCACTACTTTTAAGAGACTTTCTTGGCCAGGATGATAAGAGGGATCCTGGTCTTTCAATCCTCAAACATGATTATAGACAATATACAATTAGTATGTTTAACAACCTAAAGCTACCTATGACTTGAAAGCCCCACTCTACTTCATCTGACCTTCTGTTTGGTATGTCTTCCATTTGAGAAACAAGTTCACAAGTGGCTGCTAATGAATTATTTTCATTACTAATATGCCATTCAAAAGGGCTGAGGCTTCTATTTTGGCAACTTTTACTTTATATCATTGCAGATGTTGTTACTCTTGACTCAAGAAACACCAACTACTAGTAATGACACTATGATACGGAATCAATATACAAATCTTGTCATCTCATTTTGGACATTGAGAGCTTTGGCACTAAGAACCAAGCATAGTTTTAGATGTGGTCCTCATAATTACTTTTTTACCCAAATAAACAAACCCAATATTAGCTATGACTTAGGTAAGGTTAGTGAATCCATAGCTCAAGATCATTTCCACCCTACCCAAATGGATTTTGGTGCCAACAAATCCTTTTGTGTGGGGGGGGGGGGCGGGGTGGGGAGGAACGACATTTATATTTAATGCTTATATCCATTTGTTCTTCAAACAAATCCACAAACCAAGATTAAATATTGAAGACCCCCCTCTTAAAAGAATGGAGTCAAAGACTTTATTTAATGGAACTAGAAAGGGAGGTATAAATTATTTAAAATAAAAGTTAACAGAGGCACTAAAAATAATGACATAGCCACACTGGAGGTGGAAAACACTCTAGTTATCCTCATCTTCACAGAAGTCAGTGAAGAGATAATGTCTGAAAATTAGGAAACAAAAAACAAAGGATTCCTTCCAGGGAACCAGCCCCAAGGTGAGGCAGGAAACTGATGATTCTCATTATAGGGCACCATCTGTACTGCCATGTTGACCCATGTGCACAAATTACCTTGATAAAGTTTTTAATGCTTAAAAATATTAATCATTTTTTTGATCACACACTAAAATGGTCCTTATTTAAGGTCATACCTGGAATTCAAATATTCTCTTGGCACCTCAGGGGCAATCTGGAATATCCTTTTCGTGAGGAATATTTTCACCAGAAATGCAGATGGAGGCAATACCTCTGCCACATCTGAGAATCTGAAATCAATGAGGATCATGTTCAAATAATTATACCTTACCTAAAAGTTTCCAATGGTAACACGCTGATGATCATTTAGAGAAACTCCATGAATGTTCCCACTCTTGATGTAACACTGACCCAAAAGGCATGTCATAGTTCCCCCATCAGACCTGGCTGTGCCAGTGTGCCATTCATGCCTTTTCGATCACCTCAAAGTGATTATTTCAGCTTATCTGACTCAGATAAGGGGCATAAAAATGTATTTCCTAGTTGATGCTTCTATTACCTAATGTTGGAATCTTAATACTATGAATATACTGTGAAGGGACTAAGAATGAGCCTTTGGTTCTCCATTATCAGGTTCTGACTGTAGAATTCTGCCTACCTTCTGTGGCTACCTTCATAGTTAAAAATTTGAGGAGGGACAAATAGCAAGTAAAACACAGTGTCCTGAAAAAGACTACAAATCCAGGTAAATGTCACTGTAATAAGCGTCCTATGGTACCTGAGTGGTTTTCTGTATTTGTCTAAAAGCATATAGACTGCTAAGAACTGCCTCAGTGTTTAGGACCTAGATCTACTCTTCCTGTAAAGCCCTGGGTATTTATTGGATCCAATGACTGGTTTACGGGAATTTAGTTTTCTCTCATGATTTATGTTAATGGAGAAAATGTTGACATGTCATATTTGTTTTGCAAGCCAGAGGTACCTGTTGGAAAAGGGAAAATAACACTTTTTTCTTTTTTGGGGCAATGGTGCCTAAACCTCATGTACCACAGGCAACAGCTCATTCATCTCCCATCCCTGATGCTTTCTTTAGAAAATGAACTCTGAATGATAAACAGCATAACCTTTAGTCTTTCAGTAACTATTCAATGGATCAGCACTGCAAAACACCTTTCTACATGGCCATCTGTGTGAGGAACTCCTCTAACAAGATAACAAAAACCTGATTTTACAGGCTCCTAAGGAACAGACTAGTGTTACTAAGAAAAGTTAATTCTTCTCAGAGGTTATACTCATAAAAGATGGCCTGAAGAGAACACAATGAGGGGTCTGTGTTTACTTTACCTGTTCTGGTTCAAGGGCTATCTGAGTTTTAAACTTCTGAAAAATTTCATCTTCCCTGGATTCATGTTTTGCCATGGAATCCAGTTCTTCCTCAAGTGCTTCACCTGAAAAATAAACATAACTATGATGGAAAACCGGAATAATCTTCTAGCCAACATGTTGAAACCTACCCTGTCTGTACTAAAAATATGAAAATTAGCCAGGTGTGGTGGCAGGTGCCTGTAATCCCAGCTACTTGAAAGGCTGAGGCAGGAGAATCATTTGAATCCAGGAGGCAGAGTTCGCAGTGAGGCAAGTTGAGCCATTGCGCTCCAGGCTGGGCGATAGCAAGAGTCCATCTCCCCACCCGCAAAACAAAAAAAAAAGTTAATCTCCTTCTCCACATTCCTTCTTCAGATTATAGCCACTCTGAGCCACTGCTGCCCCCAACAGACATGTGTCTCCAAGTATAGCCATTAGTCTTGTAATGTACATTAAAATATAACTGATATACCCTGAGTCAGAGAAGCTAAAATAACAGCTTTGATGAAACTGGAAAGGCATTGGTGGTGTTCACTTGCACCGTCAGATCTGATGGAGGAAGTGCAGGATGCCTTCAGATTCACGTTTCATCAAGTGTACCTGGAAAGTTTCAGTATAACCTTTAGGACACAGTAAACGCTTTTCCCTCAGGCCCTGCTGCCTCCTGCCAAACTCCATCTGGGAACTCAAGCTCGAGTCTCAGGTAAGACACAGCTCCCTCCAGTAAACGCTTTTCCCTCAGGTCCTGCTGCCTCCCGCCAAACTCCATCATCTGGGAACTCAAGCTCGAGTCTCAGGTAAGACACAGCTACCTCCAGGAAGCATTTTTCTTTTTCTTTCAATTCCCCTTTTCTTTTGGAAAATTTTGAACATATACAAAAGTGGAAAGACTATAATGAACCAGCACATACCATAATCAGTTTCACACTATCAAGTCCACTGTGTCCTTTCTCTCCCACTTCCAACTCAGTTATTCTTCATCCCACACGTCGCTTCATTCATAATTCAGTTATGTACCCCTAGAAGGCAAACTCTTTTATTTACCAATTTGAAAATAATCTGTTCCCAGGTATCTTACAAAGATGAAGTATTATTTTGAACCCATTAAACATATCTGATGCAGTTAGTGTCCTTAGGGATGTTCAAACTGCCCATCTTTTGCCAGCAGGAGCCTTTTCATGTTGCATGAGTTCTGACATGGCCCTAGTAATCACTGCTAGCTTCCTTAATCTTTGACATAACAAGTTCCCACATTATTTGAACATTTCCTGACCCAGTTCTGGAATCAACCACCTCTCCAAACAGCCTGGAGTTCCTTTTAGAGAGAAATGGTATGTAGACACCATCAACATTGTCTTCCTCCCATGCCCAACACCTCAGTTCTCATAAGTACTCATTTGCTTTATCCCCCCAACACACACAAAACCGTCTCAAAGTAACAGCAATAGTCTAGTAATAACACGTTTACTGAAAATACTAACAGTGTTCATGTTCTTTTCATCTCAGGGTCTATTCCATTAGAGATGTACTGTCCTATGTTTTGAAGTTGCCTAGAAGAGTTCTTAGTGTTGTTATATGACTACATAAAGAATTTTTTTTTTACTTTTGTTGATTAGGGACTGCTTTTTAAAACTTATTTTATGTTATAATCTTAAAACACACAGTTCCACAGTCACATTTACACAAACAAGGCATATCTGAAGTTCAGCTTTCATCCTTGATCCTCCTACTCTAGGCTCTCCCTTCTAAAGGTAAGCATTTTCATTATTTATCATTTTATCATATAGGTATGAACATACACATGTGACCCCTTCCAGGCAGTCTTCAGAGATGTCACGTGTTCCCATGGCACCTGTATTGTACTCTTACCAGTCGTTACATGGAATTTAACTTCCCTAAGTATTATCTGGGCTCCTCCATGAGACTGAGCATCTGACCACTGGAGTGTCGCTTCCCATTATATCCCTATTAGCAAGCACGAGGTCAGGCACAGAGTAAGACTCAAACATGTTTGGAATGTATGACTGGTATGAACTACAAAGCAGTAAGCTGACATTTTCATTTTGCGTCTATAGTTTCGTGGTGGTTTTGTGATGGCTCAAAGCTCAAATTGTGAAGCTTAACATTATGTGACCAAAGCAAGTTACACCCAGAACCTCAATTTCCTCACCTTCAAAATGAGGCAGAGTTTCTGACTTATTGGTCTGCTGTCAGGATTTTAATGAGCCCATGCACAAACAGCCCTTTATACAAGATAAGTGCTGGATAAATGTTGGCTACTATAATAAAATAAGCCTCTAAGATAGTTGCTCAGCATAAGCACTATCCAAGGGTATGCACTGTAGATAAACTGACAAAATTGTGTATCTAAAACTGGCCAGGTGAAAAAGAAACTTTTAAGGGGCCCTTCTGCATGCCTGACACTATGCTAGGCACTCACACTATCCTGACCTGAGAAGCAGATCTGGGAGCCAGAGGAACTTCCCAAGCCTCCAGCATCTTGTGCAGCGCTACTCATGGGACCATCCGGATACCCCTCTCGGTGTCTTTATAGGGAGCAGAACACACCTGATACATGTCAAGAAACAATGTCCAGGAAGAATATTTTCACCTGAGGCAATATCTGAAAATTGTAGGCTATGGCCTCCAGAGTCTTCCTCTCAGTACCTCTCCTATAGACACATTGAGCCCTTTCTTCCAAGCACTATGTTTAATCATTTATGAAATCTTGAAACTGCTTACCCATGCTCCCTATAATCTCTGAGTAATCTTCTTTTCCACAACCTCGGGGAATATTTCATCTTCTGTTTCTATTACAATTTCGAATTCTGGAAAAAGGAAGTTGTGGTCTGGAATTCTATGGTCCAAATGATCTGAGACAGAAAAGACAGCACTATTAGTAATGATTCAGTTTTGAAGACAGTCTAATAATTTGCTGTCTCTAAAGTACCATATTCCCGATAGTAACAGTTATCCCTATTATTACACGTAGTTCTGCGATTTTAGAGAAAAGGTCGTAAATTAAATGCCTGTATGGTGATATTACTCAGTGATTCAGACTTCAGAGCCTCTTTTTTACAAAGGTGTTCCAGTTAGGAAAAATTCTGACGTATTATACCTTTCATAATTTTAACTTTAAAGTTTCCTGGAAATACCTGGGTTGACAAAGGCAATGAAAGTGAATGGAGAAAAAGATGACTCACCTGGTTGTGCACAAGCCTGCTTATGTCCCAGTCTCCAGTCTAGGGTCTGATGCTCCTTGCTACAGTAATACACTTTGTGGCATCTGGAGCACGTTTTGGGGCCTAAACAGCCACAAACCCTGCATAGATGAGCACCAGACTTAAGTTGGAGACACACTGATTCGGTTTCTGGGGAAGGATTCTCAGAAGGTGGCTCATATGAATAAAAATCATTTTTCCTGGGTAGCTGATTCCTAAAAACTAAAAAAGAATGCAGAGAAAGTTATATCTTCAGTCAAACAAAACAGCAATTCAAATATCTGAACCTCTACATAGAAAAGACTTTTTTTTTATTCTTAGAGAAATGAATGTTTTTGCTTTCAGGAATAAGCTTTTAAAATCCAGAAACTAGATTTTTCTTCTGGTACACGCAATAGAGTTGCCTCCTGGAGCTGGTTCGAGTTAATTTCATAAGACTAATAATTAAGACCGACTGCTAAAAATAAGAAAAAGTTGCTGGGACCCATCGTTCCAAGACAATTCCTATTACTGAATAGCACTATACCGAATACCCATCGATTCAAAGCTGGGGGTTACCAATGCGCGAGGGCACAGACACTAATTTAGTAAAAATGAGGACACCCTGGAACGGCCCGGGAGAAGGTGCTCCTGGGGCGGTGCAGAGAGGAAGCTCCGAGAATGGGGCTGCAGCGGTGCTTTCCGATGTACCCCTAGTCACTCCCGCAATTTCAACGACGCGTGGCCCCATCCCGACCCCAATGGGCCACGCACCTCGCAGGCCGGCGCAGCACGGCGGCTCGCGGCAGCAGAAAAGGAAGATGCCGCGGTGGAAGGCGTCGGCGCGGCCGGGCAGCGGCGCGTACACCCGCAGCAGGAAGGAGAGCGGGCGGCCGCACAGCGCGCAGGCCAGGGCCCCGGGCCCCGGCAGCCCGGACGCCCCCAGCCACGCCGGCCGCCCGCCTACCTTGCTGGGGAACTGCTCGCTGCGCAGTCGCCACGCCGGCGCCAACTCGGCGAAGCCCAGCTCCACAGGTCCGGCCCGGGAGGCAGCCATACGGGGCGCGGGCTGGGTGGGGCGCAGCCCACAGCGGGACCAGAAGGCGTAAGTTGGGTGCCGGACCGGAAGGCAGGAGGAGGGAACCTTTCCGGAAGACGGGAGGCGGGAACACGTTTGACAAGGGCGGCTCCAGGACCCCTGCGAGGGGACGGGGCGAAACCTCCCGGCGTTGGCTCCGCCCCTGGCGCCTCTGCTTCCGGGCCGCTTGCCTGGTGCCTCCGGGTGCTCAGGATTGGCCTTCCGGAGAGTCTCAGCAGGTGACGGCGGCGCTCCGCCTCACCTCTGCGCATGTCCTGCAGGGGCCTGCGGGTGGGCGCCATGTAGGCAGAGCCCTGGCTCAAGCCTTCCCTGCTGGTGTCCACTTCAGGACGTGGGAAACTTGTGTGCTGGCCAAGTGCCACTCAGGGAGCAGGGCTGCACGTTCTGCACATGTACCCCAGAACTTAACGTATAATAAATATTTTTTTTTAAAAACAGTAAGTTTAAAATGCCAGGGAAATAAAAAAGATAAAGGTTGAACAGGTAAATTGAGGACTCTGCAGTGGAAACTGAGAACCCTGTGTGTCCTGAGGGTAATGAAGCCTCTGCACAAGAGTCTGTTCTGTCAGTCTTAAGATCTCTATTTTATTTTATTTTATTTTTTTGAGACGGAGTTTAGCTCTTGTTACCCAGGCTGGAGTGCAATGGCGCAATCTCGGCTCACCCGCAACCTCCGCCTCCAGGGTTCAGGCAATTCTCCTGCCTCAGCCTCCTGAGTAGCTGGGATTACAGGCACACGCCACCACGCCCAGCTAATTTTTTTGTATTTTTTTTAGTAGAGACGGGGTTTCACCATGTTGACCAGGATGGTCTCGATCTCTTGACCTCGTGATCCACCCGCCTCGGTCTCCCAAAGTGCTGGGATTACAGGCTTGAGCCACTGCGCCCGGCCAAGATCTCTGTTTAATGCTGGCTTGCTGTGCCTGAATTTCAAGGGGGGAGTGTATATAATAATGAGGCATGCCCAACCCCCACTTCCCATTATGGCCTGAACTAGTTTTTCAGGTTAACTTTGGAATGCCTTTGGGCAAGCACAGAGTCCTTCAGTGGCTTGGAGGGTTTAGAATTGTATTGTTGGTTTGCAAAGGTCTGAAAGAAACATGTACCATCTATTCTTTATAAGGACTTCTACCTGTGAGGTTTCAGTTACATAACAAGACCATGGTTGTCAGTCAGGTAACCTCTTCTCCACTCCCATAACCTGTTATGCCACAATCCAAACCCCCATTCTCTAACCTCAAGATGATGTGTAAGCTTCTGAACTCCATTTGGGGCTTGAGTATAATCACTCTGGTTCTCCCCCATGTGCATGTTAATAAATTTGAATGCCCTTTGTCCAATTAATTTGCCTTTTGTCAGTTGACTTTTCAGTGACCCTTCAGAGGGCAAAAGGGAAGCTTTCCCTTGGCTCCTACAGTGGTGTTAATGGAAGTAAAGTCATCAGTAACATTTATTTTTTAGAAAAATCACAGTTTAATTGGCAGTATGTTTGTTTTGCCTTTTTTTTTTTTTTTGTGATAGAGTTTTGCTCTTTCGCTCAGGCTGGAGTGCAATGGCACAATCTTGGCTGATTGGAACCTCTGTCTCCCAGGTTCAAGCATTCTCCGGCCTCAACCTCCCTGACAGCTGTGATTCAAGTTTGTCCCACCATGCCTGGCTAAGTTTTCTATTTTTAGTAGAGGTGAAGTTTCACCATATTGGCCAGGCTGGTCTCGAACTCTTGGCCTCAGATGATCTGCCTGCCTCAGCCTCCCAAACTTCTGGGATTACTGGTGTGAGCTACCATGCCTGGCCAGCAGTATATTTGTAATGTTACATAAAATAATGTCTGGTTTTTGTTGTTTGGGTTTTTTTTTTTTTTTTTTTTTTGAAATGGAGTCTTGTTCTCTCACCCAGGCACTGGGCTCTGAGAAGTGCTAACTTTAGGTATGACCCAGCACATTTCCAGCTGTGGTAGCTGTGGTGAAATACTACTTCTGTTTGAGAAAAGCAGAGGTAAAGAAAATTCTGTGTTGCACCTCATATAGAACCTCAGCCACAGTGGAGTAGAGCACCAAGCAGAATCTTAGAGTTTCTGAGTCCAGGCCTAGGGTCTTGGTCAGCATTTCTGCTCTTTCCCTGACATTGCAGAATGTATCACAAGCTTACTAAAGGGTCCTTGGGCTTTATGTGAGAAATTGATGATGATCTGGCAGGACCCCCGCCATGGGCCAGTGGTTTTTGAAGCCATAGAAGAGGGTCCTCTGCCTGCAGATGAGGGAAGGAAAAGTAGAAAATTCTTTGTCTTATGGCCTTAGTGCCAGGTTAGATACAGTAAAATAGAAGAGCAGATAAATATTAAAGATTTTATACTTCAATCTCTGGCTCCCAGATAGCATCTATGGACCCACTCATGACTACAATAACTTGCCACCCTGGAGGTAGAGACACAAACCTGGCTGGTTTTGCCACTTATTAATCATAGAGTCCTAGGACTTTGAGTAAATTTATATGGTGGCCAAGTACTGATTACAGTGGGCTTTGGGTGAAGCCAAGTTCTGTGCCTACTTCAGGTGTGAACCTGCACAGTACCAGTGGTGGTGGTTGCAGAGGTGCTTATGTTACCCCAATCCCAGCTCCACATGCCTCAGCACAGAAAGAGAGACTCTGCTGGTTTGAGAGAAAGTAAGGAAAGAGGACAAGAGTCTCTACTTGATAAATCAAAATAAGTTTTCTTGATGTTAATCCAAGACCACCAAGGCAATACCTCCATTTGTTTGCATAAACTACTGTGTTACTGGGTTTGGGGCCCAAGTATCTTTGAATACCTGGAAAGTTTTTCCAAAAATAATGGGCACAAACAAGCCCAGTCTGTGAAGACTACAATAAAGACTGAACTCTTGAATGCCCAGATCCAGATGAACATCTACAAGTATCAAGACCATCCAGAAGCACAAGACCTCACCAAACATGCTAAATAAGGCACCAGGGACAAATCCTGGAATAAAAGGATGTGCGACCTTTCATACAGGCAATTAAAAATAGTTGTTTGAGATAATTCAAAGAAATGCAACATAACACAGAGAATTCAAAATTCTATCAGATAAATTTAACAATGATATTGAAATAAAAATAATAGCAGAAATTCTGAAGTTAAAATGCAATTGGCATACTGAAGAATGCATCAGAATTACTTAAAAGAACTGATCAAGGAGAAGATAGATTTAGTAAACTTGAAATCAGACTATTTGAAAATACAAAGTCAGAAGAGAAAAAAGGATAAAAAATAAAGCATGCCTACAGAATCTGAAAAACAGCCTCAACATAGCAAATCTAAGAGTTATTAGCCTTAAAGAAAAGGTAGAGAAAGAGATGAGTTAAACATTTACTTCACTAAATAATATTAAACAATTCCTCAACCTTTCATATCAACATTTGAGTATGAGAAGGTTACAGTACACCAGGCAGATTTAACCCAAAGAAGACCACCTCAAGGCACTTAACTGAACTCCCAAAGGTTAAAGATAAAGAAACGATTCTAAAAGCAGTGAGAGAACAAAAACACATAACATTCAGTGGAACTCCAATGCATCTGAAAGCAGGCTGAGAGAGTGGCATGACATATTTAAAGAGATGAAAAAAAAAAAAACAACTTTTACTTTAGTATAATGTATCTATCAAAAATGTCCTTGAAACTTGAAAGAGAAATAAGAACTTTTCCAGACAAAGAAAAATTGAGGAATTTCATTAACACCAGACCTGTCCTATAAGAAATGCTAAGGGGAGTTCTTAATCTGAAAGAAAAAAAAAATGTTAGTGATATAAGAAATCATCAGAAGGTACAAAACTCACTAGTAGTAGCACACAGAATACTATAACATGGTAATTACGGTGTGTAAAAATCTCAGAAAGAGTAAACAATAAACCAAAAAAAAAAAAAAAAAAAAGCCTTTCCAAGACATAGCTAGTAAAATAGGGAATGAAGAGAAACAACAAAAAGTTTAAAAGAACGTCAACCAAGTTAGAGTGTAGAGTTATTATTAGTTGTTTTGCTTGTTTCTTTGTTATGCAGTGTTAAATTGTTTGCAGTTTAAACTGATGCTATATTATTTTCAAGTTTCATGGTAATTTTAAGTCAAAAAGTGTGCCACAGATATACAAAAAATTAAAAAGCAAGAAATTAGATTATATTACAAGAGAAATCACCTTCATTGATTTGTGATTTCTGACAGGCATTTCCTTTCTGAGAGGCAGAAAGGAAAAAGGAAAGAGAGGATAAAAATCAATCAGAAAACAAATAACAAAATGGCAGGAATAAGTGCTTACTTGTCAATAATAACACTGAATGTAAATAAAAATAATCCAGTCAAAGACAAATAGTGGATGAATGAATAGAAAAGCAAGACAGTAATCTGTGACCTACAAAAAATACTTTATCTATAAAGATATATTTAGACCTAAAATTAAATGTTGGAAAAAAGGTATTCCATGCCAATAGAAACCAAAAAAGAGCAGAAATAGCTATACTTATACTAGACAAAAATAGATTTCAACAAAAGACTATAGGAGGAGATATATTTTATTATATAATAAAAGACCAATTCATCAAGAAAATATAATAATTGGAAATATATATGAACCCAACACTAAAGCACCTAGATAAATGAAGCAAATATTCTAAGAGCTAAAGAAAGAGACTTGAATACAATAATGGCTGGACCCTTCCACACCCCCCCTTTAGTCATTGGATAGACCTTCCAGACAGAATATCAACAAAGAAACATCAGACTTAATCTGCACTATAAAACAAATGAACCTAATAGATATTTACAGAAAAGTTCATCCAAAAGCTGCAGAACACACATTCTCCTCAGCACATGTGTTGTTCTCAAGGACAGACCATATATTAGGTAACAAAACAAGCCTATACACATTCAAAAAAATTGAAGTAATATCAAGCATTTTCTCTGACTGCAATGAAATAAAACTAGAAAACAATTTAGAAAAAGGAATTTCAGAACCCATACAGACACATGGCCATTAAACAACATGCCCCTGAATATCAGTAGGTCAATAGAAAAGTTAAGAAAAAAATAGAAAAACTTAATAAAAGAAATAATAATGGAAACATAGCATAGCAAAATCTGTGGAATATAGTAAATCAGGTACTATCATAAAAGAAAAATTT